TGTCAGCCGTCTTTCCTAACTTCAACACAAATATACGACCTTTCCCCCTAAAACTGGGTACAAATTCCCCCTATCTTTGCCTTAACATCAGTAACAAAAGATTGTTTTTTCCCCTAAAATCAAGATGGAAATTTTTTATTTCCCCTAAATGTCCACAGAATATTATAATAACAAAATTCAGATTAATTAATGACAGGTAAATAAAACTTATTTTTTGTGGTTCATTGTTACATCATCTTCCCTTCACTAAATGAACTCCTCTACCTCTGGCTCTACTTACGGTCTATACCTCCACCTGTGCTTCTGTTTACGGTCTCTTCCTCCACCTTAGCATCCATATCCATCCACACCGCAAACACATCCCTCTTTCTCCACAAACTCTAATTAATATCCACAGGTTCGACTCTCTCCGTTCCACCTACCACGCTGTTATCCCCAGCTTCGTCTCTTGGGATGCGGCACGACCACCTTCTACCCAATGTAAACTTCTCCTCCATTCATAGGATCACCGGAGCCGCCTCTACTCACAACGTACTGGGATCGTACCTTCATTTAGTGCCCTCTCTCCCCTCCTTCCCTCCCTCCGTCCTTCTCTCCCTTAATACTACTCCATAATATACCTTGCTCCCCTCCGCCCCGCCCCTTACCTATCCTTCCCTGGGTCTTCGCTACCTACTATATCTCTACCCTCCGTCCTTCCTATCCAATGCCTTCTTACCCCCCTCCTCCTCTCTCCCCTCCCTTTCTCCTTCTTCCTACCTACACCCTCCTCCTCCCCTCCCCGCGTGACGAGGGCCCCGCTGCGACTGGGCTGGAGCCTCGACCCTCACCAATAACCACACAATGAGACTAATTTGAAGTCAGAAAGGAACAGAGGCGAGTAACGATCACAGCCTGTTGGAGTGTCACGTTTGTGCTAGGAGACGAGGAGGAGGTGGAGGAGGAGGGGCGAGGGAGGAAACTGGAATATGAGGAGACGGAAGAGAAGGAAGAAGAGGATGAAGAAGTGGAGTGGGATATACATCGGGAGGAGGAGGAGGAGGAGGAGTAAGGATGAAGCAGGAGTAGAAGGAGTATTTGGTGAGATAGAATATATATACTGCTTGTGGGTCACCCGGGGTCATTAAGAGGTCATAACGTAGGAAACAAGACCCTGACGGAGGCCTGAATGTCTCTGTTATAGCTAGAGAAAATACCACAGGAAGAGGAGGGAGTACCTGTCACACATCTGCCAATCAGCACAAGGGCATCACTCACACAGGTAGACTCCAACACCTCACGCACCAAGACCAACGTGAAGACCCTGACAACTCTCTTGGCTCTTGCAGGTGGAGTGAAAGACTAATATAATGCTTGACGATTACACCTGTTGATAATATACTCAAACAGGTGTACCATATGCAAATGTAACCCCTGAGAGTGTTGTTTATATTTAGGATCGTAACCTGGAAATAAAGTTATGAGGTAATTTAGGTCGATTGATTATCTATGGTCAAGTTGCCTTACTGTTTAGCGATGTTGTTATACCTATACTGTCTAGGTATACAGGAAGCAGTATACTCCCACGGCCTTCCTGCACTGTATATCTACTTAGCTTATACATGTTGAATTGTATACCTGCATAGTTTATATATATGCTTATTTAACTGCAAACCTGTATGAAAATGTTTACCGAATTATTATTATTATTACACCAGGAGTTTACCTTAACTAGATACTTCCACTTAACCCCTTGAGTACAATGACTTAATACCTTGAGTACGATGATATAATCCTCTGAGTACAATGACCCAATCAATTAAATACCTCCCTTAAGTTATCGTATTCAAGAGGTTAAGTCATTGTACCTAACATGATAAGTCATCGTACTCAAGGGATTAATACCATTTCGGAAAAATAATCACTTAGAAAAAAGTAAATTCTGTTTCAATAAATATTAAAAAAAATCTGCTATTATTGGCAATGATAAACTCCTGAAACCTAACCTAACCTAACCTAACCTAACCTAACCTAACCTAACCTAACCGCCCACATCGTCTTCAAGCGTCAGGCAAATTTTCGCCGTGAGTACAAGAGTTTCATCGTCAATTCACAACTAATTCATCTTTACACATCTTTAAATAATTCTTACATGTAGAATATAAGAGAGAATAGGTAAGTGAGTTTCTAGTATCGGGATAGAGTGAGTGAGTGAGTGAGTGGATACCAAACACACAACACCGCCCGCCCCATGCACCGCCCACCCTCCTACCTAAGCATCGTCGGACAGGTGTCGCCGCTAACACCTTCCTCCGCCGACAGGTTCCGAAATACCTTAATTAATTACCTTTTATACCTGTAATTATCATAGTAAGTTATATATATATCGGGTTAATCTTTATTCTTTACTTAAAATAAATCAACTTAATGATTTAAGAATAATATACCGTTTTTGTAATTAGAACTGCTATAAAAATCGATTTCCCTTCAGAGCTAAACAAAAATAGTTCTAGTACACGTGAGCTTTTTTTTCCCCTCTTGATATTTAGGTTTATATAAAAGTGATAAAAAAAAAGAGTCGGGGTATAGAACGCAACATTGTCTGAGGTAAAGAATAGAAAGTAAAAAAAAACAAAAACTGACAAAGAAAAGTGGATAAGTTAGAAGATGTTAAAGGAGAGAAGGAAAGGCGAGTAAAGAGAGGATGAAAGGACAGGGGGAGAATACACTAGGAATAATGGGTGTGTGTGTGTGTGTGTGTGTGTGTTACAGATTTGAGTGAAAAAAAATATAGATTGATGAAGAAAATAATACAAGAGGTTATTCTATCAATACTTACTGTCATATCTCATCCAATACTCTTTTTCTGTGTCTGTCTGTCTGCCTGTCTATTTTTCTCTGTCTCTCTCCTTCTCTTTGTCTCTCTGTCTGTCTCTATTTCTGTTTCTGTCTTTCTCACTCTCTCTTTTTATATATGAATAATTGCTGTCATGTCCCGTCTCACATATTTCTCTGTTTTTGTGTTTCTGTCTCTCTCTATGTCTGCCTGTCTTTCTTTGTCTCTATCTGTCTCTCTTTCTGTCTGTCTCTGAACAATTAGTGTCACGTATACTGTCTAACATAGCATCTCTCTCTCTGTCTCTCTCTCTGTCTCTCTCTGTCTCTCTCTCTCTCTCTCTCTGAACTGCTTACAGGGTGGATGTGCATGGGTGTTTGGGTGACAGTGTCGAGTCTTTGACAACCAAGATAAAGGATCTATGTCCAGTCAGTTTCTTCAAAGTCTGCCTGTCTGACCTATCTGTCTGTCTTTCTGTCTGTCCCTTCTGTCTGTGTGTTGCTGTACGTAGGCTTATGTTATCCTTTCTGTTTATTCCCTACCACGATTTTTTTTTCCTGTGTCCAAACTTATTCGTTACTTTTCTTATCCTATCACATGAGCCTTGTCCAGTGCTCATGTTATCGTCACTGTCATTCATGTCACTGTCATCTTTTTACCCCCCCCCATGATATGATATATAGTTAACTTAGTGACGTCATCTTATTTTTGCTTTTTGAACGGATGAAAGAAAAAAATATCGTGTTTACGGTTTGGTCATGACCGGTTGTGTTGTATAGACATGAGCGGAACGTGATCGTATTTCAATCATTTTAAGAGCGATGACCTGATCTTACTCCGAGGTCATCAGTCTTCAAAGGTTAAGTCATCGGTCTCAGGGGTTAAGTCATTGGTCTCAAGGGTTAAGTAATCGGTCTCAAGGGTTAAGTCATCGGTCTTCAAGGGTTAAGTCATCGTCCTCAGGGGTTAAGTCATCAGTCTTCAAGGGTTAAGTCATCGTCCTCAGGGGTTAAGTCATCATCATCCTGTAATATAATTTCCATTCCTTTAATAATGAAACCCGTTATAATGTGTCAAAAATCCATCTGGCTGTGTCTTAAATGTGTCATACAATAATGTCAGCCGTGTCATATACAGTAGTCTGACTTTAGTGGTGTCATATCCGTCTTATCCGTGTCATATATACATAAGCCGTAACTTACCTCACCCATAGTTATACGCATTATACACACACACCTGGCCGCTCTGATATACACCTGTGGTTGATATACACCTGTGTATATCTCCCTACTTGACAGTCATGTATTCTTAACGCTTCCTGAAACGTGACTAATAATTGTTATACATAAATGCGTAAAGTGTATTTCAATGTCATTCGTGTCATATAACTTTATCTAAAATCCCTCGAATTAATTTTTGTTTTTAAGTGTGATCAAGTGGTGGGGAGGATATCTAACCCGCGGCCATATTGGAGGAAAAAAGTAAATCAATTTTTCCCAAATAGTCGAGGAAGAAGGAAAAGACACATAGATGGTATAGTGTTGCATAGGTTGGCTGTGGAAGGAAGGGAGGGAGGAAGGAAGGAAGGAAGGAAGGAAGGAAGGAAGGAAGGATGGAGGGAGGAAGGAAGGAAGTGTTGATAGTATAAGAATATTTTTCCCTGAGTTAATGTGTTTATTTGTATACACCAAAAGCTCAATTAAGACATGTTGACTTTGCTAACTTTTGGTGTCAATATTCAACTCTACAATGATAAAGTTAATGACTGTTGACTTGAAGTAGAACGGTAATACATGTGTAATTCTTGCGGTATGTATGAGAAATGTGTAATTGTATACATATTTTAACAGGTATAAAAAAATAGTTATATTCTAGATATTTTATGTACATAATATATGAAGATAAAGAATTAGGTGGTTGTTGTTGTTGTCTTGGGCTGGCGGGGACTGTCTGGAGCACTCGGAAGATATAAATAAATATGACGAGCATGGTGAAAATATTGCGAGTAAAAATATGCACAAAAACAACCAGGGTGATGAAGTTACCAGGAGTAGCAGAAGTAAAGTACCGGGAACAGTTCAACCACAACACACGTGATGGGACACACTACAGCAGCGACATGTTGATACTAAAGCCTTGTGGGATAAGCCAGGGTTAGGAGGTACACGGGGACGTCCAGCCTTACCTAGTCTCTTGGAGATCTCGGAGTTGTGCATCTTGGGGTTGTCTTGGGCCATCTTCCGCCGCTGTCCACGAGACCACACCATGAAAGCGTTCATGGGCCGCTTCACGTGTGAGTCCTTGGCGCTCATCCTGTCCTTTACGACCCACGGCCGCCCGCTCCCTCACCACCTGCCGCAGATGGTGCAGACGGAGGCAGCAGCGGGGGTGAGCCAAGGGACCAACGTGTGGTGACGGCGACAACTTCAGAATCAGACGGATTAAAGAATCTCACGAGTCTGGGTCATGGATGGCTCACTCTTATTTTTCTCTCAGTTTAAGATACGATCGAGTAAATTGGTCAGTGGCACAGTATTAGCTGGTGGTGCGTGACGCACCTGGACGGGGCGCGGGGCAGGTAGCGAGGCAGTGTAAAGATAGTGCTACGCTCCCGCGAGGGCGGTGAGAGACGGAGTGCTGTCAGCGGCGCGCTGCCATGTGATAAACATCTCCGCCCGCCAACAGCCGCACGCCGACGATGTTACCTTTTCGGGCTCTCTGGCCACACTGACTTGACTCACAAAGTCGCCATTTGTAACGAGTCAGTGTTGGCGGGCTGTGGTTATTGATTACGTCACGCGGCACAATAGGCAGGCCAATCACCGCATTGTTTTATACCGCGCTGCTCCGCCCACTCCATTGTGATTGGTCGCAACCTTTCTCGCGCCCGCCAATTCTGTGTAAACATGGCCACCCGCGCACATGAGATCAACCAAATGGTGTGGAAAGTTGCGACATTGCCGCAAGAGTTTCCCTCCAAATTTCGAGCTTATTCGGCACTATTGATCCCCAGAAGACGAGGGTGTGAGAGCAAGAGTTCAGCAGCCGGGGCATCACAGAGAACGGAGGCTGCCGCCGCCTCACAGAGAAAGGGAAGAGATACTACTGCTCACCAACATCGTTTGCGAGAATCGTCTTCATATCACACTCACACTTGTATTACAACTCGTTCAATCAAGGTTCACGAGTCTGGCGTTCTACCTCCCACGGGATCCTTGGTTTAGGAAACATCCAAAGTTTTTCTACAAAGTTTTAAGGACAGATTTAAGAATACAAAGGGTTGGGGTAAGTCATGAAGCAACTATTTACAAAGGTCTTGCTGGAGAATAGAGAAGGAACAGGTCGGGGTATATTACAAGGCGGTGCTCACTGTATTAGGCACCTGAGCGTTCGGACACGTTCATTCTTTTGCCCTCCCGCCCTCTCCCCACCCATCCCCCACTTACTCCCTCTCCCTTCCCCACTCTAACTTCCCCTCCCTCTCCATTTCATTCTCCGTCTTTCTTTTTTTTATGTTCATTCTCACCCTTAAGTCTGTGTCTGTCTCTCTTCTCTCTTTCTGTCTTATATCTTCTTTATTTTTATCGTGTTTCTTGCTTGTCTCTCACTTTATCTTTCTTCTTGTTTCACATTCTCTCTTACACATTCTTTCATCTCTCATCTATAAATATATCGAGCTTTCAGGTGATCCAAAATATAGTTTTATTTCAGCATCCTAACCTAACCTAACGTAACCTAACGTAACCTAACGTAACCTAACGTAACCTAACCTAACCTAACCTAACCTAACCTAACCTAACCTAACCTAACCTAACCTAACCGACGACACACCTGAAGCTCAGTAAAAATAAAGCTGAATTCAGTCAAGACTTTTATAATCGTGTTGACCGGCAGCCGTGACCCTGATCTAGGTACACGTATTACCCATATTCCCAGGTTATTGATGACTGGCCTTGTAATGATTCACACTTATGACACATAACTTCATATATTATGTACACACACCACACCACACACACACACACCACACACACACACACACACACGCTCACACCACACACACACACACACACACACACACCCACACACACACACCACACCCACACACACACACACACACACACCCACACACACACACACCCACACACACACACACCTACACACACACACACACACACACACACACCACACCTTCTTCATCACCATCACCACCACCCCACCATCAGCCCCCAACACCATCAGCCCCCCCCACTACCCCTTCCCCCCCTCTTCAACACCTGCACCTGTGGCCCATCTCGTTCTACTCACCTTAATTGTTCGAGGCAGTGATAAGAGGCGTGACGGTATCTCCTCAAGATGTTTCCTTATCTCTGTCTCACCTGAACCCACACCTTATCTGGGGAAATTCTTCGGAGTGCTGATATAAGATAACGTAATCTGTATACAAAGTGTTATCGGACCCTCGTTAGATATAGGATAACATGACTACAATTGTCAAGGGGTTTCTGCTATCGTGTTTTGTACATTTAATATAATTCGTCAGTAGGGATAATGGTTTAATGGGTGTTTAATGGGGGGGATAATGGTTTAATGGGGGTATAATGGGGTGAGTGTATAGAATCAAGTAGATGTATGGAATATAATGGGTTTTGGTTATACAGTATACACATATGAACACATTTAAGGTGGCCAGTATACACACACACACACACACACACACACACACACACACACACACACACACACACAAATACACACGGTCTCACATTATACCAACTTTACAACTAATAACAAAACAATAACAATAACAATAAATAATGACAAAAATATTAATAGTAATAATCCCTAGTCATGCGATAAAAATAAATATATTATCCTAGTGAAAATAATTATCATATACTATTAAAATTTTCTTGTGCTTGTAATTATTAGAATGGTAAGAAAAATAACATTAGGACTCTACTCGAAACTATAGAAAGAGAAACATTCCCTCTCATCTCCCTCTCTTCTCCCTCTCTGCCCCTCTCATCTCCCTCTCTTCTCCCTCTCTTCTCCCTCTCTTTTCCCTCTCTTCTCCCTCTCTTTTCCCTCTCTTCTCCCTCTCTGCCCCTCTCTTCTCCCTCTCTTCTCCCTCTCTTTTCCCTCTCTTCTCCCTCTCTGCCCCTCTCTTCTCCCTCTCTTCTCCCTCTCTTTTCCCTCTCTTCTCCCTCTCTGCCCCTTTCTTCTCCCTCTCTTCTCCCTCTCTCCTCCCTCTCTATTTCTCTTGATGCAAAATTCCTCTATTTTTGGCGTTAATGAGGCGGAGGAAGGTACTTGTACACCTGCAGCACCTGTCTAATACGTGCTGGTGCGTGGGGTTATGGGCGTGGGGTTATGGGCGTGGGGTATGTGTGGGGGTGGAGTGGGGCGGGGTGGGGGTGGGAGGGTAGATGGTGGAGGGGCTTGGTATTATTTATCACCGTCCACTCATTAGTAACCATTGTGGTCTTCCTGGACTACGAGACACTCCCGTTTTTCTTTATTCTTCGTCAGGCAGGTCTTGAGGTAGTAGTGGTGGTGGTGGTGGTGACGCCCAGCCAATACCTCCTCCACCCTCCACCCTCCACCCTCCACCTCCACCACTACTACCACTATCATTGTAATAGTTTTTCCTTCACCATCATTCCACCTCTTCCTCTTTCTTCACCACCACCATCATCACTTCACCTCTTCCCCCATCATCACTCCACATCTTCCTTCATCATCACTTCACCTCTTCCTCCACCATCACTGCACCTGTTCCTCTTCCACCACAATTACTACTACCACTTCATCTGTTCCTCTACCACTATTCTACTCCTCTACCAGTTCCTCCACCATCATCATTACTCATTCGTGTCCTCCCCCACTCACCCAGCTTCTCTCCCACTCACCCAGCTCCTCCCCCACTCACCCAGCTCCCCCACCACCCAGCCTCCCCTACCGCCTAGTTCCACCCCCCCACTCACCCAGCTCCCTCCCCCCCCACTCATCCAGCTCCTCCCCCACTCACCCAGCAGGCAGATGTAAATGTAAGGAAGGCAGGTGTCCACAAAGGTGATCTCATTTACATATAAAAGCCTAATTAACAGGTGACTTACAACTATTATATATAGCTACTAACTACCTTAATTAACTTGATAATATGAACGACTATTTGCTATATAAAACAACAATAAAAGGCTATAACTACTTACTATGTTAAACCATCAAGTAATTACAGTACCCAATTAACACCACAAAACTATATAAAACTACCACGTTAACACATTCAAAATTAATGATTAAATTACTTCAGAGAAACTAATAACATATAGAAAAAAAGTATAAAGAATTATTAAAAAAAAGTATTAAGTTCTTATATTAAAGGCATAGCAATCACCAAGAACTGTGCTATGTTAAAAATGCTCTACAATTAGACGCGTCTGAGGTAAATAGAATAATCATAGCTCATAATCAAGCACGATAAGGGTGTTACGTTGTGGTGTTCTGTCAACAGTGATAAGGGAAAGGTGGGATTGTTGTCAGTGGTAAAAGTGACAGCATATAAAAGCCTTCGAGTCAATTGTTGTGAGGAGAAGGTGAAAGAATAATGATAAGAGGAATGAAAAATGAAGATGATGGTGGAGAAGAAGAAAATAAGGATAGGAAGAAAAAGAAGGAAGATACACGAATTTAAGATAATAATTAAGACGATAAAAAGAAAAGATGGAAGAGGGGGATACAAAAATATTCTCTTCGAGTTCTTATTCTCTTTTATCCATTATTTAGTTAAGTATAGACGATATGTACGTTGTTGCATAGACGCCAAGTACAGTACGTTATTGTATAGACGATATGTACGTTATTGGATAGAAGCCAAGTACAGTACGTTGTTGTTTCACTAATGACTATCCACGTAATAATTATACAGTCATGACCCTTTAACCTAACCTAACCTAACCTAACATGGTGGACTGTCTGAACTCCCGTAAAAATCTAAGCTGATTGTTATATCTCATGACCACTTGTAATCGTGCGTGTGTGTGTGTTTTTCAGTCAGTCAGATTACAGTATCTTGGTTCCATTACAGGCATACAGTATACGAGTGTCTTGTAAACAAAGTATTATCTCGTTGTTTTAGTGTGTCAGTGTTATCATGCTGTTAGTAGTTAAGGGTCTAAATGGAGACGAATTGTGACTCCTTGGTTGTTTATATCTCGTAGCTAATGAAGTTAAGTGATGTTCTCTTATTAATTATGACCAGCGATGTGTTTACTCTCTCTTATAAAGTAAACAATAACAAAATTTGCTTTTATATATATATTTATGAGTTTGTGTTTTGTGAGTTTTTATTTTATATGGACGTAACTAAAGAGATTCATACTTGACTGCTGTAATGGGTCAGTAGAGTAAAATAAATATCACTCACTTCAGTAACAGGAGGCATCTTAAGGCCTCCTCAACCCGGGCTATCTAACGCAAGGTCACGTGACCGTCGCCATGACCAATCAACGTGGCAGGAGGTCACGTGACTACCGCCATGACCAATCAGCGTGGCGGGGTCCCCCCAAATATGGAGGGGTGCAGGGGTTGGCGATCAGCAGGGGGCTACCACACCACATCTCCAGACGAGCTTGTAAGGGGCTGCCAGCCATCTCTATTCCTCTCCTATCATGTCCAGATTCTCAAAGTACCACACGGTTAATTTTTCCCCAACT